GAGGGGAGGGGGGGAGGCGATGGATAACGATAAAAGACGGACGATGTTGACGGAGAAGATGACAACCTGCTCGCGGTCTTGCCTGCTACGTGCGAAAAGCACAACGGATGTCGGCAAATTAACTATATGTTGTTTGATATTGTAAGGCCCACTGAGCTGTATAACTCTTATTCAGAAGCGACCTGGCCACAAATGATGGCTCCACTCAGTGGCTTATAATATGGAAATGTATAGCAGCCAAATACTCGAAACGCGTGTTGATTCAAAATTTGGACGGGAAAACCCCGGAGGAACTGGAGAAAAATCCACGCCACCATGGAGAGAAAGAGAGACACACACACAAACTACAAATATACAGCAGGCGTCAGGGTCAGGATCAAACCCACGACCAGCCTGTATACCAGGCGAGGTAGTTAACATCCCCTAGCCACCGTGGTGGTGATAATGAGAGAGAGAGAGACACGCAAACTCCAAATATACAGCAAGCGTCAGGGTCGGGATCGAACCCACTACCTCCTGCATACCAGGCGAGGTAGTTAACATCTACTAGCCACCGTGGTGGTGATGATGAGAGAGACACGCAAACTCCAAATCTACAGCAAGCGTGAGGGTCGGGATCGAACCCACGACCTCCTGTATACCAGGCGAGGTGACACTCCACCCCCGTGCCCGGAATACGTCTTGGCCACGTACGGTGAAAGTGTCGCACGGCCAGGGTCATCGTTCGTTCAATTAATCTCGGAATCAGCAACTGTTGACCCCCCCACCCCCTGTACGTCCTCGGTAAAAAGAAGCCCTCCCATTGCCCCCAATCATCGCGAGGTGTATTCGGACGCACTCGCTTTGTTTACAATACGGTGCAAGTGTTTCCGCGTGTGCGTCCGTGCGATTATTGATGACTTTACTCGATGCACTCAAAACGCTGATGTTTTGGATGACGAGATATTCTCCTTTCGTCTGGGCGTCTCAGTAGCGGAACTGTGTAGCAGAGTGCTTCCTAATAATTGCGTAGAAGCCACAAATAAATAAACAAGTACTCTGCATGCATTTGATTCGGGGGCCTGAGGGGGGGGGGGGGTGATGGGTAGCAAGCAATCTGAACTTTGAGGACGTGAAAATACAGTGGCTGTACGCACAGTGGCATTTTAAAACATATTCATCACAGCCGCCGGCGAAAATGCATTTTAGTTTTGCTGTCCCGACTTTCGTAAATCACCGAGAGACACGCAAAGCCCAGATATACATTCTAGATTTGAAGCTTTCGTGACTGAAAGGATTCATATTCTTGAGTTTTTTCGGTAAAGTCACGTAGGTAAAAAATTTAAAATTAAAATTAATAAAAGTAAAATAAAAATAAAATCAAATAAAAATCACGACGTTTCGGAGGCAACACAAGCCTCCGTCTTCAGGTGGTAGATATACAGCGGGCATCGTCAGGGTCGGGATCGCACCCACGACCTCCTGCATACCAGGCGAGGGAGTTAACAGTTTGTTTTTGTTTTGTTCACCGCTGAAGCAGCAGCAGCAGGAGCAGCAGCAGCAGCAGGAGCAGCAGCAGCAGGAGCAGCAGCAGCAGTAGGAGCTGACCAATCGGGGCAGTTTCGTTTCGTGGTCTACGCTGAGTGCGGGCTGCGGGCTCAGCCGCAGCGATAAAGCCATCATCATCATCACTCAGCGCCGGTAATGAAGTACCATCCCTACGTCGCGGGCCTCGGAGACAATTGCCGCCGCGCAACGCGAAGCAGCCCCGCTGATGATGCCGTGGACGCAGTAACGGGCGTGCAGCGAGCAGGGGGAAGCGTCGAGGTGCCGGGATGGTGAAACACGCGCAAACGGTGGGGGGGGGGGGGGAGCTTTGTGTCTCCGCCGAACTGCTGTTGCTGTTGCTGCCCGAGCCGTCTGTCACGTTTACGGGAATATTCCCACACGCGCGCCCTCTCCTTCAGCCTCCGCGCGGTGCGAGCGGGTATTTATTGTACGGTGCATCGATGATGATGATGGTGGTGGTGGTGGGGATGCTGGGACCGGTTGTTGTTGTTGTTCTAAGTGCAGCTGAGCTCCCGAGTGTGCCGAGATCGTAGATTGGATTCCACAGTTGAGATGGCATCGTCGGCATTATCTTAATTATCACCGTCATCATTGTCATCATACTTGTCGTTAGCATCAATGTTATTGTTGTCGTCACACTTCATTGTGATTGAAGTGTGACGGAAACAATAGTGTTGACGATGACAATGATGATGTCATCATCATCATCATTGTCATCGTCGTTGTCATCACGGTCACTGTGTTTGCCATCAACACATTCCTGCGGAGGGAGCTGATAGGAACGTTGGGTTGCTCGGTCAATGGCCAGGGTCAACGGCGGCGTGGAGTATTCCGCAAATATGTCCGACTGTGAGGGCGGGCACAAGCCTGGCGTGAGTAGGTTAAACGTTGAGTTTTATAAGGGTACCACGGGGTGACCAGCCCCTCCCCACCCAGCCCCACCCCTCACCCAGCCCCACCCTCCCCACCCAGCCCCTCCCTCCCCACCCAGCCCCTCCCTGCACGACGGACACAATAATCCCCTGTGGGATAGTGTAACCAGGAGGTTTCTACCAGTATATCGTAATCATTATCACCATCATCATTATGGAAACACTCGAAAATTGTCCGACAACACCTCACTATTTCGCGGACCGCAGTGCTTGGCCAATTGTTTTGTGTTACTTGTAAGTGTGTAAGTGTGTGTGTGTAAGTGTGTGTGTGTGTGTAAGTGTGTGTGTGTAAGTGTGTGTGTGTAAGTGTGTGTAAGTGTGTGTGTGTGTAAGTGTGTGTGTGTAAGTGTGTGTGTGTAAGTGTGTGTACGTGTGTGTGTGTGTAAGTGTGTGTGTGTAAGTGGTGGAGCATCTTCGCCGGTTGGAAACATTTAGGCTGGCCTGCCTACGATCCATCCTGGGTTTAACCAGGCTGGATTGTGTGAGGAGCTCACAAATCCTTGAAAGATCTGGGCAAAGTCCCATCAGTGAGCTCCTCCGGCAGGCAAGGCTGCGTTGGCTGGGTCATGTAGCCCGCATGCCCAGCCACCGCATGCCTAAACAGCTTTTGTTCGGCCGGATCGAGGGGGCTAGACGGGCGCGGCACGGGCTGGAGAAGAGATGGAGTGATGTGGTACAGGAGGACGTGGAGCTGAGTGGACTTGCCGATGACTGGTACCAGCGGTGTCAAGATCGGCCTCAGTGGAGGAGGCTCGTGAAGGACGCTACTGGGCAGTTGGAGGCAGTCGCCCTCCAACAACAACGGAGGGCGGAGGAGCGACGCTCACAACAACGAGCGGAGCGCCGGGTGGCTAAAGCACAGCAAGTTGGCACAGTAGGGGGCACAGGTGGTGCATCAGCCAGTCATCTCGGTCATCTCGGTCAGTCGACCCGTGGCACCTGGGTCTGCCCCGTGACCTCCTGCCAGCGGGCTTTCGACACTTCACGTGGCCTCAAGGTGCACTTGGCCTGGCACAAGCATCGTGGTGACGTCACCGCCACTTAGTGGCGAATGGCGGTTGTTGTTGTTGTTGTGTGTAAGTGTGTGTAAGTGTGTGTGTGTAAGTGTGTGTGTAAGTGTGTGTGTGTAAGTGTGTGTGTGTGTAAGTGTGTAAGTGTGTTGAACTTCTTTAGCGCCGTGCCTAGCCAACTGTGCTCTGAAGCCAAGTCGGCTTGGGCAGGACGCGGCGTTCGAAGGGACGGTGACCGACGGTCAAGAACCATAACGGAATAGCAGCCGAGGGATGGAACGCGTCCGAGGGGACGGACGCGCGTCGGGGAGATGGAGCGGTGGGATCGCTCCGTGTGGATGTATTGTCGGATCGCAAGATCTACGGCTTGGTGACGGTTTCATCCAGCGGTGGATTGATAATAGGGGGCCGTCCATAAATGACGTCACGCACCTAGGGGGGGTGGGGTCAGACATTTGTGACTATGTGTGACGAGGGGGGAGTGGGGTTTGAGAAATGTGACGTCACATCAAAATGCGCAACTTTAAATAAATATAGACAACACGTTCTACTTAATTAAAGAGACTTTTTAATAAATGTTTGCTCCTACAACATCAGAGTGCAGCGCCACATTAATACGCACTACAATGACAATAGTTTAAAGCGATTTGAAGCATGTTTTATTTTGGGGGGGGGGGCAGAGCTTTGTGACGTCATATTTGAGGGGGGGGGGTCTGACTTTTTATGACCACGTGTGACGATGGGGGGGGGTCAAACATCGTCCAAAATCGCGTGACGTCATTTATGGACAGTCCCCAGCTGACGATGATTATTATGATATATTCCTCACCGGAGGAATGGGGATTGTTTTTTTCCCGATGCCGGAATGAGAGGCGGCCATCGGTGCTTGCACTCAAAGGGAGTTGTGCGTTTGCGCCCTCATCTCTAAATGCCAACAGCCTTGTCGGAATGAATGGGGGGCGGAGGGTAGAGCGAAGAGGGGGGGGGGGGCTGTCCCAAAGACAAATGGTAAACTCTTCCTCCTGCTGCTGCTGCTGCTATTGCCGCTCGCAATGACGCGGCCGCGTGCTGCTGCTGCTTCTCGCTGGAGGGAAATCCCTGTCACGTGCCGCGCGTGACGCACCCCACCACCCACCACCACCCACCCCCCTTGCATCCCCAAACATCGCCATCACCTCTAAACTCCTCCATCTCCCTCGCTCCTCCTCCTCCTCCTGCCTCCCTCCCTCCCTCCCCGCTCTTGGCCCTACCCCGAAACTCCTCCAGCAGCGCCACCACTGTTTGTTTGATCCTAACACCCGGCAAGCCCACCCCACCGCCACCACCACCACCTCCTCCCCCCCCCATCTCTCTTCTCTCTCATCCTCCCCATCCTCCTCGTACACAGACGCATCACCCCGCCTCTCCAGCACCACCCCCCACCCACCCACCCCTGTGCGCATAGCCGCTGCCGCCGCGTGGTGGATCCGCGCGCGTGCCTAGCTTAGTAACCACAACCACCACCACCACTAACAGCAGCATCAGTAGCAGCAGCAGCGGCATCAGCAAATGGCTTCGGAAGCTCGCGGGCTCGCTTGATCGTCGTTCACGTCCCACCTCTGCGTAGGTGCAGAGACGGGAGCTCGTGCCGTGTCGCGGACTCCGCTTGTCCAGCAGCACCGAGCGCATAGGATTTTATGTTTTTTTTGTTGTTGTTCCACAAGCAGAGCAATTCGATAATTGGTTCGCATCGTCGTTATTAATTTCTAAAATATATCATCGTCCGTGGGTCGGCTTCGTCCTCGTAACTTATGAAAAGAATCGCGGGACGGCATCGGCTGGCTCGGTCGGCGCAGGTGTCAATTGTCACACGATGTCAAGCAGAGCGACGTCTGATTTTTTTTCACGCGAAATGTTGTTAGTTAATAAATAATAATGTAAGAATTACAAAAAATCGCACACCTACCCCACAGCAAATGTCAAAATCGCGACGTTAATTTTTTTTTTATCGGATCGAGTATAAGTAATCAGAGTTTCGCGTGTAAATGACGTTCAGTTTTCACAGCAGCTGCTCTGACGAACCGGCAAAGAAGTGCTCTGGGCACAGAAGACATTCACTTGGGGGGTAATAGTTGGGTGCAAGGCTTGAGCCGGACGTTTTCTGTGCTCTGCTGTATTCGCGTGGAGGGTGAACCTTGAGGCGGTGATCATTGAGAGGTAAGCAGCGTTGCTCGTGAATTCATGGCATCGCACACTCATCATCATCATCATCGCCGCCGCCGTCATCACTGCGGGAGTGTGAAGGACAGCTAAGATCGCCGCCACCACCACCACCGCTGCTTGCAGTGCAGGAGACGGCTTCGAGGTAGACAGCAGAGAGGGAGGGAGGAGTGGGGGGGGGAGAGACAGACGCGTACAGAGTGTAGGGGACGTGGACACGGACAGACCAGGGGAGTGAGAGACACAGCGACACGAGAGCGAGACGCACACGCAGAGACAGAGAGATACCGACACGAGCAGGCAGCGGGCAGAGGCGGACACGGGGAGTCAGGGACAGCACACACGAAGGCAAGGTGACGGCAAGGTGAAGGCAGCCAGGCGGAGACTGAAGCTCAGACGGGACACAGGCTGCGCGACTCGACCAGCAAGAGGGAAACCACCATCAACCACCACCAGCACCACCACCAGCACCACCAGCACCACCACTAGCACCACCAGCACCACCAGCACCACCATCACCACCACCAGCACCACCAGCACCACCACCACCAGCACCACCAGCACCACCAGCACCACCACCACCAGCACCACCAGCACCACCAGCAGCAGCACCACCACCAGCAGCACCACCAGCACCACCAGCACCACCACCAGCACCACCAGCACCACCACCACCAGCACCATCAGCAGCACCACCACCAGCACCACCAGCACCACCACCAGCACCACCAGCACCACCAGCACCAGCACCACCACCACCAGCACCACCAGCACCACCAGCACCAGCACCACCAGCACCACCACCACCACACCACCAGCACCACACCACCAGCACCACCAGCACCACCACACCAGCACCACCAGCACCACCAGCACCACCACCACGCACCATCAACAACCAGCAGCAGCACCAGCAACCACCAGCAGCAGCACCATCTAGCAGCACCACACCACCAAGCACCACCACCACCACCACCAACAGCAACCACTCACACCACCAACCACCAGCACCAACCACCACCATCACCAACCACCACCAGCACCACCAGCAAGCCACCAGCAGCACCAGCAGCACCACCACCACCACCAGCATCACCACCAGCACCACCACCATTACCACCACCAGCACCACCACCACTACCACCAAGCAGCAACCAACAACCACCACCATCACCCAACACCAGCACACCCAGCACCACCAGCCATCACCACCAGCACCACCACCACCAGCACCACCAGGACACACCACCACCTAACCACCAGCAGCAACCACCAACACCAACCCAGCCAACACCACTCACCATCACGCGACCAGCACCACCCAGCAGCACCACCAGCACACCACCACCATCACCACCACACCACCACCACTACCACCATCAGCACCACCAGCACCACCACCAGACCCACCAGCACCACCACCAGCACCACTACCATCACCACTACCACCAGCAGCACCACCAGCACCCCACCAGCATCCTACCAGCACCACCACCAGCATCACCACCAGCAGCACCATCAGCACCACCACCAGCACCACCACACCATCACCACCAGCACCACCATCACCACACCACCATCACCACCAGCACACCATCAGCGCACCACCACAGCATGCACCACCAGCACCACCAGCACCACCACCATCAACCACCATCACCACCACCACCAGCACCACCAGCACCACCACCACCAGCACCACCAGCACCACCACCACCAGCACTACCAGCACCACCAGCACCACCACCAGCACCACCACCACAGCACCACCACATCACCACCAGCACCACCAGCACCACCACCAACCAGCACCACCACCGTCCACCAGCTCACCACCACCATCACCACCACCACCAGCACACACCACCCAGCACCACCAACATCACCACCATCACCACCAGCACCACCACCACCACCAGCACCACCACCAGCACCACCACCACCACCATCACCACCACCACCAGCACCACCACCGCCACCACCAGCAGCACCACCACCAGCACCAGCACCAGCACCACCAGCACCACCACCATCAGCACCACCACCACCAGCAGCACCACCACCAGCAGCAGCGCTCAATCAACCCCGCGGAGGAGACAGAAAGAGAGTGGGGTGCGGGGGGGAGGAGGCGGTGGTTGTTGCAGAGTCCTGGGTCCTCTGTGATCACGATCCCTCGACCTCACGCGTGGAGAGAGAGGAGAGAGAGGGGGAGGGAGAGGGGGGAGGGAGAGGGGGGGAGAGATCAGGAGGTGAGAGCGCCCTGGTGCAGTGGCTCCCGTCCCGTGCTGTCCTGCCCCGTACATCATCATCATCATACCACCATCAGCGTCGTCATCATCGTCCCTCTCGTTTGCCTTGACGTAGTTATTACCCTCCCATCCCACCGGTCATCCCTCCCTCCCCCCCTCCACATCGACCCGGTCATCGGTGGAAGAAAAAGGGAAAATCCCCCCCCCACTACCAAAAGGCACTCGGCAAATCCGCTTGCCTCATGCGTCCAACGTGAGAGAGGAGACGCGTGGCACCTGACGAGGAGGGAGTTGCCCTGACCCCCTGGACACCCCCCCCCCCCCCATCTCCCACTCCCTCTGCCCTTGAAGTCTGCTGCGACGGCGTCTGCTATCCCCGCTGTGAGCCCGCCACGCAACCTTTGCTCCAGGTACACGAATCGCGCGTTTGCGATTTCCGCGTCTCCGTCTCCTCCTCTCTCCTCTCTCTCGCGTTGAGGACCTCACGCCAAGATGTAAGGGGGAGTGGGGGAGGTTAGAGATCCACGCGCGCACGTACACACGAGCTACGCGCGTGCGAATTTGCCGTACAGTGATGTGTATGCTGCACGTGCGCGTGCGGGGAGCGGTGGTGCAGCGGTTAGCGCTACGCCGCGCGACGAAACCGGCGACCCGGGTTCGATTCCCGCTCACGGCAAACACCCAGTGACGATTATTTGAACCGGTCCTGTGGGTCTCCGCTAGGTCGACTCGGCCTCAAATGAGTACCTGGTGCGGTGTGTAGTAAACATCGCTACTGGGGAGACAAAGGCGGCCGGGCGTGGTGCTGGCCACCCACCCCCTCGTGTGCCGTGCCGGCATTCATAGGTGCTCGATAACAGCGCTTGCCCCAACAGTCTGTTCAGGCTATACGGGGGATCTTTGTCTTTGTACGCCCTTGCACACAACCACGTGTAAACTGAGCCCCTGTGTAAATCCACTGCTGGATGAGGGCATCCATCACCCCTCCCGCCCGCGCGGTGCGCTGCGTCGGTGTCTTTCCCACGCACCTCCGATGAGCATGGTTTGTCTACGTACGGTGCGAAAGAAGTTCAACACGCGTACACATACAACGCGTACATCGGCGGCGCCAAATTTTGACCGTAGATTCGCCACGCTGCGATACTCACATCGAACTTAAATCACGATCGCAGCGATGCCCTTTAATTGAGCAGGGAAAGCCGGACTGAGCATCTCACGTCGGAGAGACAGGTGGGGATGTCTCCTTCCTGCATTGAGATGCTTGACGATGTCCATCCGTCAGTGCGCGCGTGCGCGTGGCTTATGTCGGTGTGTGAACATCGCCACTCGGGGAAGACAAAGGCGGCCGGGCGTGGTGGTTCCTGGCCACGCGTCCCACCTCGTGCGCCGTGCCGGCCCTCAGGGTAGGCGTGTGCTGCTTAGGCTGACAGCACTTGCCCCAACAGTCTGTTGAGAGGCTACACGGGGGACCTTTGTCGTTGCCTCGTGGCATGCGCCGCGCATGCGAATACACGCGGCGCAGCGCGGACGTGCCACGTGACCGCGAGGTGGTTCTCACGATGATTGCTGAAGAGGTGATTTTAGCGAGGTGATTTTAGCGAGGTGATTTTAACGAGGTGATTTTAGCGAGGTGATTTTAACGAGGTGATTTTAACGAGGTGATTTTAACGAGGTGATTTTAGCGAGGTGATTTTAACGAGGTGATTTTAGCGAGGTGATTTTAGCGAGGTGATTTTAACGAGGTGATTTTAGCGAGGTGATTTTAGCGAGGTGATTTTAACGAGGTGATTTTAGCGAGGTGATTTTAACGAGGTGATTTTAGCGAGGTGATTTTAGCGAGGTGATTTTAACGAGGTGATTTTAGCGAGGTGATTTTAACGAGGTGATTTTAGCGAGGTGATTTTAACGAGGTGATTTTAACGAGGTGATTTTAACGAGGTGATTTTAGCGAGGTGATTTTAGCGAGGTGATTTTAACGAGGTGATTTTAGCGAGGTGATTTTAGCGAGGTGATTTTAACGAGGTGATTTTAGCGAGGTGATTTTAGCGAGGTGATTTTAACGAGGTGATTTTAGCGAGGTGATTTTAGCGAGGTGATTTTAACGAGGTGATTTTAACGAGGTGATTTCAGCGAGGTGATTTTAGCGAGGTGATTTTATCGAGGTGATTTTAGCGAGGTGATTTTAACGAGGTGATTTTAACGAGGTGATTTTAGCGAGGTGATTTTAACGAGGTGATTTTAAGCGAGGTGATTTTAACGAGGTGATTTTAGCGAGGTGATTTTAGCGAGGTGATTTTAACGAGGTGATTTTACGAGGTGATTTTAGCGAGGTGATTTTAGCGAGGTGATTTTAATCGAGGTGATTTTAGCGAGGTGATTTTAAGCGAGGTGATTTTAGCGAGGTAGATTTTAGCGAGGTGATTTTAGCGAGGTGATTTTACGAGGTGATTTTAGCGAGGTGATTTTAGCGAGGTGATTTTAACGAGGTGATTTTAAGCGAGGTGATTTAACGAGGTGATTTTAGCGAGGTGATTTTAGCGAGGTGATTTAACGAGGTGATTTTAGCGAGGTGATTTTAACGAGGTGATTTTAGCGAGGTGATTTTAACGAGGTGATTTTAGCGAGGTGATTTTAACGAGGTGATTTTAACGAGGTGATTTTAACGAGGTGGTTTTAACGAGGTGATTTTAGCGAGGTGATTTTAACGAGGTGATTTTAACGAGGTGATTTTAACGAGGTGATTTTAGCGAGGTGATTTTAGCGAGGTGATTTTAACGAGGTGATTTTAACGAGGTGATTTTAGCGAGGTGATTTTAACGAGGTGATTTTAGCGAGGTGATTTTAACGAGGTGATTTTAGCGAGGTGATTTTAGCGAGGTGATTTTAGCGAGGTGATTTTAACGAGGTGATTTTAACGAGGTGATTTTAGCGAGGTGATTTTAGCGAGGTGATTTTAACGAGGTGATTTTAGCGAGGTGATTTTAACGAGGTGATTTTAGCGAGGTGATTTTAGCGAGGTGATTTAAGCGAGGTGATTTTAGCGAGGTGATTTTAGCGAGGTGATTTTAGCGAGGTGATTTTAGCGAGGTGATTTTAGCGAGGTGATTTTAGCGAGGTGATTTTAGCGAGGTGATTTTAGCGAGGTGATTTTAGCGAGGTGATTTTAGCGAGGTGATTTTAGCGAGGTGATTTTAGCGAGGTGATTTTAACGAGGTGATTTTAGCGAGGTGATTTTAGCGAGGTGATTTTAGCGAGGTGATTTTAGCGAGGTGATTTTAGCGAGGTGATTTTAACGAGGTGATTTTAGCGAGGTGATTTTAGCGAGGTGATTTTAGCGAGGTGATTTTAACGAGGTGATTTTAACGAGGTGATTTTAGCGAGGTGATTTTAGCGAGGTGATTTTAGCGAGGTGATTTTAACGAGGTGATTTTAACGAGGTGATTTTAGCGAGGTGATTTTAGCGAGGTGATTTTAGCGAGGTGATTTTAACGAGGTGATTTTAACGAGGTGATTTTAACGAGGTGATTTTAGCGAGGTGATTTTAGCGAGGTGATTTTAACGAGGTGATTTTAACGAGGTGATTTTAACGAGGTGATTTTAGCGAGGTGATTTTAGCGAGGTGATTTTAACGAGGTGATTTTAACGAGGTGATTTTAACGAGGTGATTTTAGCGAGGTGATTTTAGCGAGGCGATTTTAACGAGGCGATTTTAACTAGGTGATTTTAGCGAGGTGATTTTAGCGAGGTGATTTTAGCGAGGTGATTTTAGCGAGTTGATTTTAACGAGGTGATTTTAGCGAGGTGATTTTAGCGAGGTGATTTTAGCGAGGTGATTTTAGCGAGGTGATTTTAGCGAGTTGATTTTAACGAGGTGATTTTAGCGAGTTGATTTTAACGAGGTGATTTTAGCGAGGTGATTTTAGCGAGGTGATTTTAGCGAGGTGATTTTAGCGAGGTGATTTTAGCGAGTTGATTTTAACGAGGTGATTTTAGCGAGGTGATTTTAGCGAGGTGATTTTAGCGAGGTGATTTTAGCGAGGTGATTTTAGCGAGTTGATTTTAACGAGGTGATTTTAGCGAGTTGATTTTAACGAGGTGATTTTAGCGAGGTGATTTTAGCGAGGTGATTTTAGCGAGGTGATTTTAGCGAGGTGATTTTAGCGAGTTGATTTTAACGAGGTTGAGGCTCAAGTTGCTGGGTGGCTGCAGAGACCTCTGGGAGCCGCCACCGATGTAACAAAAACAAAGAAAAACCCCGAGTTCGAATCCAGTCAGCTGCCCGGGATTCCACCGGGTTCTCCATTGCCGTGAGTGACTTCAAGTCGCATCTCTCTAATCGATTAGCAATGTTGGGTTGGGGGGGCAAGGGGGGGTGTTTGACCGCCGTGCGAACGTCGCTCTCAAGTGGCAGAGCGCAGGGGGTTGACAAAGCGCTGCGTGCCCCCCACTGTGTAAAGGCAGAGGCCGCGTGGAGACACATTCGGTGGTGGCTCTGCGACAGCCACTTCTGCCGCGGGCTCTCCGCTCTCCGGACGCGGCACCGATAACGGGGTTCCCCCTTCCAGCGATAGCGACACGATCTGGGGACGTGAGCGCGACGGTAAATCTCATCGTCGTGGCGCTCTGGTTCACGACTTACCACGCCACCTCTGGTCGTCGTGTGGCTGCTGCTGCTGTAGGCTACACTGTCACGCTCAGGTGGGTCAGCAGCGGCCCCGGGTGTAAATCCCCGTGACGATGTCTCCTTCGTATTGTGTGGATCTCGGGGAATTGCGTCGGCACGCGGTTGCGCTCCGGGTCTGTTCTGGACCATCGCAGTCGCACCACTCCCACTGAAGAGTGGTGAATTTGCCATTTGTGCAAAAAAATGTGTTGCGTGCACAAAAATGCTCACGGCGCCCCCACCCCCCCCCCCAAAAAAAAAGAGAGCGAGAGAGAGGCGGTCGCGGCTTAACATCTTTAACATACCATTGGTACCTCATTTGCCAGTAAAAAATATGATAATTGTTTTTTTTACCCTTTTATCTGGCAACAAAACTGACACCTTTTTTTACGAGGAGTCATGTTTGCATAGACCACAATACCTGCAGTCATAATGCAAACAAAAAACACAACTCTGATAATGTATGCACTGTCCTTGAAGTTGATTGGTCCACACCCGAGACAGCTTTCCTTTTGGCGTCATCTGGTCCAACCCATGTGAGACTAGGCTCTAAGGAAAGCTGTCTCGGGTGTGGACCAATCAACTTCAAGGACAGTGCATACATTATCAGAGTTGTGTTTTTTGTTTGCATTATGACTGCAGGTATTGTGGTCTTTGCAAACATGACTCCTCGTAAAAAAGGTGTCAGTTTTGTTGCCAGATAGAAGGGTAAAAAACAATTAACATCTTTAACATATTCAATACGGA